TGACGGCCATCTCTACCCTGACGTTGTACTTCACATTGATTTTCTCCAGCTATGCAGTTATACTTTGGGAATCAGTATGTGTCCCCCTGTCAATCACTTGATGGTTAGCCAAGGAATGCAGAATCATTTTTGATAATAGCACAAGGCAAATATGACTGGGAAGATAAGCCCAAGGCAAGAATTTCTTTAATGCATTACTAAATTAGTAGAGAATATTTATAAATTTCTCTCTCATTTAGAATACTGATTCTCCACCCTAGTACACCAAATCAACTTTAAGTAATAAATTTGAAATTCTTCCTTTGCTACCCTAAAATGCAAACAAGAGATAATGCTACCTTCCTACATACTTAATTTTTTATAGTCATTAAAATTACATTTTACTAAGTGTTTATTTAAATTCCAGTTAGCTTACATACAGTGTAATATTAGTTTCAGGTGTACGATATAGTAATTCAACACCCACACAACACCCTACGCTCATCACAAGTGCCCTCCTTGGGCAGCCCAGGTGGCTCAGCAGTTTAGTGCTGCCTTCAGCCCAGGACGTGATTCTGGAGACCCAGGATCGAATCCTGTGTCGGGCTCCCTGCATGGAGCCTGCTTCTCTCTCTGCCTGTGTCTCTGCCTCTCTCTCTCTCTCATGATTAAATAAATAAATCTTTAAAAAAAACACACACAAAAAAAAAAAACAAGTGCCCTCCTTAATCCCCATCACCTATTTGACCTGTTACGAGTGCTGATTTGTGTCCCAAAAAATTCATATGTTGAACTCTTATACCCAGTACTTCAGAATCTGATTGCATTTGGAAATAGGGCCTTTAAAGAGAAAACTAAGGCAAAAAAAAAAAAAAAAAAGAAAAGAAAAGAACCCCACCCACCTCCTCTCCAGTAACCCTCAGTTTGTTCTCCATAGGTAAGAGTCTGTTTCTTGGTTTGCCTGTCTTTTTTTTTCTTTTCTTTCCTCATTTGTTTTGTTTCTTGAATTCCACGTTTGAGTGAAATCATATGGTATTTGTCTTTCTCTGACTGACTTAGTTTGTTTAGCATCGTACTCGCTAGCTCCATCCGTGTCATTGCAAATAGTAAGATTTCATTCTCTTTTATGACTGAATAATATTCTTCTTTACCCATTCATCAGTCGATGGACACTTGGACTATTTCCATAAGTGGCTATTGTAGGTAAATCTGCTATAAATATCATGGTGCATGTATCCCTTTGAATTAATATTTTTGTATTCTTTGGGTAAATAGCTTGTAGTGCAATTGCTGGATCATAGGGTCGTTCTATTTTTACCTTTTTAAGGAACTCTCTACTATCTTCCAGAGCTACAAACTTAATTTTTTAAAAAATCAATATGCCCTGAGTATGGAAGGTAAATAAAAGAAAAGTCACTTCTAGGAAAAGTAATATTTCAGTGTGTAGAAGCCGGGGCATATACAACAGGAGACATAATGAAGTTGTCAGATATATGCTGTCATTTACAGAACCACTATAAATGCAAACTCACACAGGTGTGCTATTTGATGCTCAGAGACCATGAGTCATGTTGCTCTTGATGATGTGGCTTTCCAAAATAATGGCCAATTCTTGGTAAATTCCAGACAAAACAAACTGCAACCATCCCTCAATTTACCCAGCTGTTGCAGCCCTGGGAAACTCAATGCATATAAAATCATGAAAAAATGCTTTGCGTTAATATGTGAAATGGAGACAGATTCAGGCTCAGAAGTTATAAATAGGTTTTTATAATTTATAAACCTGTTTTTATAAACAGGTCCATTGGGACCCTCAGAAGTTATGTAAGACACAGGACAATGCCTCATTCTGTGGAACAGCCCTACACTGCAGGATGTCTAACAGCACAGGCTCCTACCCATTTAATACTTCAAGTGTCCACAACCATCATGAGAATGATGGACACCCCCACAGATTTCCAAAATTCCCCCTAGGCAGCAGTCCACTTTTGCTGAGATCTACTGGTTTACAGTATTTTCTCTAGGGCTGCCTCCACAGACTCAAATGAAAGTTGATTCTAATTGTAAAACCAAAGAATGATAGCACTAGAAGGGACCCTACAGGTTATCTATCTGGCCCCCTCACTTTCTTTGGTTTCCCTTTCTTTGATTTTTATTTCATATTGAAATTAAAAAGATATCTTTGAATATGTCTCTCTTCTACACCAGATATTTGAAAAAAGTTGAGTGATTGACAACATTTTCTGGTTTTTTTTTCAGAACATTTGGGATTGAAATCACTTACTCCTCACCACTGAGCTTCAGTGCCAGGCTGGATACGCTTTAGTGCCCATTAAAAGCCTGGATTCTTGCATACAAACAAATCAGAAAGATGCAAAAATAAAATCCTTTACAAAGTGTCCAAAAGAATGGTCTCTAGGAGCAGAAATTGTCTTACTTGGTTAGTGTCTAATTGATTTTCCCACTATTCTTCCCAAACTCCAGCTATCAGAATCCAAGCAGGACCTTGGGGACTAAATGACTGACTTCATATGCTCCTGCACCATGCACAGCTCAGGGCCTCTGCCTCTGCCTCAGGAAGCAATGCACTGGTTCCTTCACAAACCCTAAGGAAGACTTGGCTATTTGCCAGTTACCCTTGGCTAGTGGGTTCTGATAACGGATTGGGTATTTTTACGACTGATTTGGCAGGCCAAATGTTAAGAAGAGAACCATTGATTGCCCAAACTTCACCATACTGGCTCTCCGAATTAAATTAACAATCAAATCAATGCCAGTTTCAAAAGCATTGGTTGAGAAATTTCGATTTATAAGCCTTGTGTATGATCAGGGGGTAAGGAGGGTAAAGAGAAAAAGCTCATAGTATAAAAGAATTATTGAGTAAAGCTGCAGATCACACACTGAAGCGCAGAATTAGATTATCTCTAATCCTGTCCTCACACTGCACTGAAAGAGCAATCTAATGTGTGTCTGCAAACTCAAATCTCTTCAGGAGATGAGAGCACAAAGTCCTCCACGCACCCAAGAAAACAATGTCAGGGCCTCATACTCAGTGCTTATACGCTCTATACTTTCCTCACGGAAAAGTTCTCCAGCTCTCCCCTCAGAGACCACTTCCTCTTAATTTTAGACTCACTCTAACAATTTAAACATCAGGTGTTGGAAGCAGCAATTTAGAAAAGGATGTGGTCTTCATGCTCAAGGTAATCCCTGTGACAGCCACAGAATGAAACAACTGACAGTCTGACCTCCAGGAAGGGGGTGGAAAACAAAGGGGTGAGAGGCCAACAGAGGAACTCAAAATAAATGGCGGCTTAGGTTATTCAGGGCAGAGATGGATGGCTTCACCAGCCCGAGCATGTCTCCAGATACAGAACAATAGAGTAATTGATGTAAAAGAAAAGTAAATTATGCTCAATATATTTAGCGGCAAAATCCATAAAATTCAATGAAACAGGATACTAGAGTGTCCGAAGAGGAAGACCCTTAAGAGAGTATCCCTGTCTGATTCCTTTATTTTACAAAGAAGAAAATGAGTATAAAGGAAGGAACAAGGTCAATGCAGGGTTGAGACAAGAGCACAACCTCTGGCTCAGTGCTCTCCCACACAGATGCCCTGAGAGCTGACAGCACTAAGGGTAGGAAAAGCGATATTGCATCACCTTTAATCATGCATTTGTGTCATGGCTTCTGACACCTCTGGCTTTGCTTCCTTGCACTGATTTTACTCCCTGATTTGTGATGAGAGAACCTCAGGGTTGGCCCTTAAAATTGAGATTGAAGGTATAGTTTACTCTGACATCCCTCCTACATCCCATTCCTGGCATGTTTCCTCCAAACTGTCCTATGTTTGTCATCCAGCATGGCACCCCACCCACTGGCCTCACACCCAGAGTTCCCAGCACGTCTTAGGAAACTCTCCCAACTTGCAGAAGTTTGGCATATTCCCAGTCTCTTTCTAATTTGATCTATAATTCCATCAAAGAAGGAGGGAATATACTAGTATTTTTCAATTATAAGTGGAGAGCTTGTGAAAATGTAGATTCCTGGGCCCCAATCCTGAAATTATGATTTCAGAGATGATTCTAGTGGAAGTGGGTCTTGACCCACTTTGGAAAACACATGGCTTCTACTTACGTCTCCAGGCTCGTCTGCCCCCAGTCCCTTCATGCACACTCCCCTTCACCCAAAAACTTCAGACTGCCTATCCACCATGTCTTTGCTTCATGCTCCATCCTCTTTGCCCAATTAATTTCCCCATATGCTTCAAAACCACCTGATACACATGTCTCTTCTCTCTTCTTTCTCTGTTCCTGTATATCTCTGCATTATTGAGTTTATACAGCTTGTAATGGACACTGATTTTTTTTATATATCTCCCCTTGAGGTCAAGGCCATGTCTCACTTGCCTTTTTAGTCTCAGCACTTAGCACCCTGCCAAACACATGGTGGGCACTCCTTAAGTTCATTCAATTGTCCTTTGCATGTGCTAAACTCCCTTGTTAAAAACTAGTTACTTACTTACATTTGCATTTTTTAATCAACCTCACTCCCATATATAGTACAAAATCTCCACAGATCACTTGAACCATCATTCGCAAATGAGGAGCACTTCCATAATATGTGAAAAATGAAAGAGAAGAATGTTAACATAATGTAACCCTGGTGCCATCAAGTGCGGAGATCATAATGAACTAGGCCCATGTTCACTCAGGATATCTGACCCCTAAGGAATATGACAGCGACACATACAACAAATAGGAATTTTTCTAAATAAAGATCGGTCTCCAGTAGCTCATTAGAATCAATTCTGATTGCCTTCCCAAGCATTCAGGTTAAAAGTTTTTCAGAACTAACATTGAAAGACATTAGAATTGGCCTTAAATTTATTCATATATATAAAATTTCATGTATTTGGTTTAAGATCCCAGAGATCCCCAGTATTTTGCACCAAAGATGAACCACCAAGAGGTTAGCTCATCTCCTGAAGTCCGCCACCCATGTGTGCTTGTCCCATGCAGGTGTCTGCTACGCAGAGTTTGGAGTCCGAGTCCCCAAGACCACAGGATCAGCCTACACCTACAGCTACGTCACTGTCGGGGAATTTGTGGCATTTTTCATTGGCTGGAACCTGATCCTGGAGTACCTGATTGGCACTGCAGCTGGTGCCAGTGCTCTGAGTAGCATGTTTGACTCCTTAGCAAACCACACCATTAGCCGCTGGATGGTGGACAGCGTGGGAACTCTCAACGGCCTGGGTGAGACTGCCATATCCTCTTACCCCAACACGTAAAATTACCCCAACAAACAAATAGGTTCCCCTTTTAGGATTCAATGTGGCAAAATATATCAAGAGCCTTAAATATGTCTCTCCCTCTCTCTCTTTTTTTTTTTTTTTTGGCAAAGTAGTTCTCCTGTGAATCTGTTCTAAGGAAATCATTCTAATTTCCATAAAACCTTTATATGAAAAGATATTCATCACAGCCTCATTTATAATTTAAAAATTAAGAACAGCCTAAGTAGTCCATAATGGAGCAAATGACTAAGTAAATTGTAGAAGCATATTATGTAGCAATTAAAAGGATGATGGGGAAGACTGTTGTAATGACATGGAATATGTCTTTGATGTAATGTCATGTGACAAAGGAAATAAATTGTATATGCATCATGCTGATAACTATATAAAAATAAAACCAAAGCAGGAAAAATAACTGTAATGAACTGTAGTGGTTTCATCGGATTTTTTTTAATTTTCATAAAGAAGCATGTATTAATTTTTAAATGACAAAATATACTTTTAAAAGGGACAAAATGGATTCCAGTCTAGCAGAGGTCAAGGAGGGATAATATAACTGGGTGAATACTAAATAATCAGAACTTTACATAACAAATACCAGGAGCTCCGTCCATCACTTGCCCCGTTTCATCCAGATATCTGATTTTACCCTCTCATATCCATGGGAAGCCAAACAATAGTTGAGGAAGCTTGGGGGTCTTGCCCCAGAACTTGCAAGTACAGCTTCTGTGGCTGTGTGCTAGTCATGTGACTCTGGTGTCCCTATCTCTGAAGAATTGATAAACATGCTGAGCATCAGATACTGTGAGAAGATAAATAGTATGAAGACCACATCTGCACAGTATACTTATTTCACAGAATTTTTAGGTCTGAAAAGGCCCTCCTAGACCAAGTAGTGCAAACCCTTCACTTTTACAGATGAGGTCCAGGGAACTGAGGCATCCGCCCAAGGCCACACAGCTGGTCATGGGCAGAAGTGCAGCTGGAATTCAGAAGCCTGACGGCTGAGGCAGTGCCTTCTCCACTCTATAGAGGGCAGGAGTCCACTGGCCAACAGACCACACCAACCGGGTGGGGTGTATTCACTGCTTATTTTCTCTGCAACCGCATACACATAAATGCAAAGAACATTCTTCTCCCAATAGTTTTCAAAGATACACATTTTAAAACTTTCTACAAATGAAAGATTGCAGGAATGGAATGGAAAATTTATGGACTATGGAGCGAACAACAGTGAAGATAAGCCAGTTTTCAAATAACATGTTAAACCCATATATACACCATGAGTGTCTCAGGGCAGTTCTGACCTCAAATATTCTATGCCATGGTTCCATGGGCTATCTTGTCATTGTCATTTCGTGTGTCCCAACTTTGGGTCCAGGGATGTCGGGTCCTCTGACCTATATACCAAGACCTTCCCATTTGTAAATAGACACTTATGGACCACAGTGTAGGCACACGTGACTCACACATCCACACACTTGCACACAAGCACATATGTGGACACACATGCCTGTACACACACACTTCTCCTCCCTCTGTGATACATTGATCACCCCTGCCAGAGCTGAGTGCAAGTGCTCTGAGGGGGTGCCGGGAGTTTGCATGCCCCTTTTTTCCCCTGGACAATATTAACTCATGTCTTTGGCCTCTAGGGAAAGGTGAAGAATCATACCCTGACCTTCTGGCTCTAGTGATTGCAGTCATCGTCACCATTATTGTTGCGCTGGGGGTGAAGAATTCTGTGGGCTTCAACAACGTCCTCAACGTGCTGAACCTGGCAGTGTGGGTGTTCATCATGATTACAGGCCTCTTCTTCATCAATGGGAAATACTGGGCTGAGGGCCAGTTCTTGCCCCATGGCTGGTCAGGGGTGAGTTCATTTCTAAAGCCTTGTATGGCTATTGCACATTCAGCCTTCCACCCTGTAGCTAGTCTGAGACATATTATCAAAAAATGCTGCTCTGTCCCATAATCTTCATAGCACCGTTTTCATCCCTTTTTATCTGAACTTAATTGGCGTGCTCTGAAAAAATGATTCCTATATCATTTTTTTTACTTATTTCACAAACATTCATTGAGATCTTATTTTATGCAAATGACCATAACAGATTTGATATTTTGGCCGCGTGAAATATGCCTAGTCCTACGCTAGGTGTTCTGCATGTAATGTTTAAGTGTCTTAATAATCTTGCAAGGAAGATATTTACCTTCTGGCCTTACAGACGAAAAACTCACACTCAGAGAGGTCAGGGGACTCACTATTAAGTGCACAATATAAGTGACAGAGTTAAGATCCAAAGCCCGGACTCTCCGACTGTAAAGCCTGTATATGAGCTTGGTTATATCTTTAGCTTGGTCTAAAAGAATCCCTCTGGAGTATTTTTGGAGAGACAGACTGCGCCAAATAGACAAGGCAGTAATGGAGTCAGAAGAGCAGTAATGGAGTCAGAAGAGCAGTAAAGGGATGAGTGTTGCCTAGGTATAGAACAAGGTCAAGAACAGTTTTTAGATGTAATCCCAATATTTGACCCAATGTAGACAGCCCCATTAAGGTCTAGGTGCTGCTGAGAGGGCACAGTGAGGGCTGGTCATAAGTCCCATTCTAGTGACATGGTTCATGGCAGAGAAGTCCACTCCCAGTCCACCTAGCATGGTCTTGCAGTTGGCCAGAGAGTGGGCTGGACCAAAAAGGCATTATCAGATCTCATCCTCATGATCTGGGTGGTGAGGCTTACATTAAAGAAACATGGGAACGTCAGAGTGGCAAAGTCTTTATACTGACAAGTAGTTCCAAATTGTGCTTGGATCCTTTTTCTAGTATGACTAAAAACGCTTACTTTATGAATTCATTGGTAAAATTCAACTACCTATTCCTTTTTTAAAAATAGTAGAACTCAGAATTTAAATAAAATATTTTTTAACATAGTAGAACACTTTGAGCTGGGGAAGATCTTAGAAACCACCTGCTTCTACCCCTCACCTAGCAGATAAGGAAACTGAGACCAAGGGAGAAACACCTGCTTACCACTGGCAGAGAGCAAGTCCGGGACTCCACCAGATTCGCTTTTGTAAAAATCCTTTGCTTAGACTGGTTTTCCTCCAAGATGTCTAGTGACCAGAAATCTCTCTTGGAAAACACTCAGAATAACTCCTCTCTATTCTGAACCATGCCACACTATTCAATGAAGAGAAATAAGCAAAAGAGCAATTTAAGCCAAGATCTCTAGTCTTCTGCTTATCTGTAAGAATTCCACGGTACCACAAAGTTCATCCCTCCTCCTCCTTGAAATGAATAAATCCTGAAACTGGTTAAAACCAGAAGAGACAAAGAAACACTGTTGACCCCATTCTGGATCCGCGAGTCTATATTTTCTTACAATACAAACCGTTCCTTTCCTATCAAATAAAAGAAACAATAAATTACAAGCATGGCAAAGAAAAAAAGTGTTTTTCCAGAACTCAACTGCATTTTCATCCTTGCACATGATAATGTTCTCACCATTTTTTTTCCCAGTCTGAGAAATTTTGGGGTCATGGATTTACTGTTAAGACTTTGGCCAACAGCAAACTTCTGTGCTTTGAGGTTTTCTCACTCATCAGAGGGAAAAACTAATTGCACCAAATGTTTGCCAAAAAGTATAACAACTTAGATGATTTTTTTTGGTACACATGGTATGGGTAGCGATGGTGATAATTATAGGAGGGAGGGCTTAGAGTTTACCAACTACCTGTTTGGTGCCCGGCATTGTGCTCTCTTACAACAAAACTTTAAAGCAGGTGCTGCTGTGCCTAACTTAATAGATGGAGAATCCAAGGTTCAGAGAGGCTGGGGAACTTACCCGAAGTCACTTAGCTGCTAATCAGTGCCAGGACTGAAATTCCTGATCAGGTCTATGTGACTCCAAAGCACTTTCTACTGCATGGTCTACCTTGTGCATGATCACCCTTTGTTTCTGAGCCTTCTAAAAAAATGTAATACGATAATTAATCCAACACATTATGTTTTTCATCTCCTTTAAGAATTTGCAAAGTCGTAGAGTCTTAGAGTGAGGAGGAGCACTAGGACATTGGTCTAGCCTCTTTTCTCACCTTCAGGTGGGAGTATAAACCAGCCCCGGCCAAAGTGCATTGTTTACTAAGACATAATAGAAAAGCAATTTGAAAATTTTTTGTAATTACTTAGTTCATGTCTAATTTTCAAAATTCTCCTAAGAGGTCACCTGCACACATTGCAGTTCTAGGCCCCATGTAAAGACTGGAAGCCAGTAATCTCTTCTGTGCAAATGCCTTTTGCCCAGGATGAAGATGAACCAGTCTTTTAACCTGTCCTCTGGACTTTGTTCTGGGGTCTTTATTCTCTTTGGGGGTCTCCTCTTCCCACTCCAGGACCCCATATCCCTCTTCAGGATAGTTAGCAATCCACCTCACGGAGGAAGGAACTAATCAAACCAGCCTTAGGGGCTCCCATTTATACACCCAGGTTCTCACTAGCTTTTATAGCAGGAAAGGATCAGAAGCCAAGCATTAAAAAATGAAAGGATGCCATTCTTAACTTACCATTTTCTTTGTGACACACACTTTCATATACACTTTTCATGTAAGCTTCACAACAGCCCTGATCTCTACTTTTACATCAAAATATCTTAAGTTGAGAAAAGTGAGGGTTACCTATCTGCATCATAATAGAGCTGATATTCAATCCCAGTCCTGGTTGAGTCCTTATTTACTCCACTACCCTTCAACCTGGGTTTGGACACATGGGACCAATTGTCATTTTTTGCACCTTTGGCTCACGAACCTCACTCCAACCCAACCCTTCTTGAGTAGGTTTGTCACTGGTCACCAAAAAAAGTATGGCTGGGATTTTGTATTTTTCACTGCAAATATATTAACCCTGCAGGAAATTCAAATATGTGTTCTAGTGGCTGTGACTAAAAGTATCAGCTGAGCACAAAGGACAGCCCAGTGTGAGGATGGTGCTGACTCATCCTCTTTCCTATCTGCCTGGCCTTGGATTTCTGCATAGTACATTTCCTCCCTAGCAAACTAGCCTGGACCTGTTCTTTCTTAACTTTATTTTCTGGTTACTTTTCCAGTCCAGCAAGGCCACTTTGTTTTTATTTTTGTTTTTGTTTTTTTAAGTAAGCTCTACACCCAACATGGGGCTTGAACTCATGACCCCAAGATCAAGAGTTTCATGCTCTACCTACCGACTGAGCCACCCAGGCACCCCTAGCAAGGTCACTTTGAATTTGGATCCTAATTTTTAAGGTCTGACACCCTCTAATGAACATGTCATCCACCAAGTCAATAAACACGCTCCCTATTCTGTTACCTAACAATTGTCAACAGAAGTGAGTCGCCTACTTGGCAGCTACATGGACTTCTCTTTAGGGAAAACCTGACCCCTACCCCTGACAAGGGGCCTAGTTCAGAGTTCTAATCCACTTTATTCTTCAACCACTTCAAGTAGAATGGGATGGAGAAGATCATCGTGTAGGAGGTTATTTATAAAGATACCATTACAGAACTCGAAACACACTTCTCAAGTGCTTTGAAAGGGTTAATAATGAACAATCTGTCCTCTGGCCATGGACCCCTCATAAGCTTACTGTTTCCCTGCTCCAACCACATCCTTCCAAAGAAAATAGCTTAAGGAATCGTTTACTCACTTACAGGTTCTGGGTCAAATGCTTCTTTGGTCTTGAAGAGCCAAAGAACAACAAACATTTTTCTCTAGATCAAGTAACGGCTGGCCCTCAGCTGAACCCCTGCTTCCATCTGCAGTTCCTCAGCCCCTGAACATTGTTGGATGTGTATTCCCTGTGTGTTATTTGTTCTCGATGCTATCTTATGGTTTTCCTTTAACCAAATAAGACACTCTAACCACACAAACAGCTCCCAGGAAAATGGTCCTTGGCAAGTATTTGTGGGGAATGCTGGCCGCCTCCAAACAAAGGAAAAGTTGGTTTTTCATGTTCTCCACATTTTAATTCATTTGCTGGAACCTATTAGCACATTCCACTGTCACTGTGGACAGGCTGCTAATAGATCTGGAGCATGAGGGTGGTAGAAAATGCTATTAAAGTCCGAGTTTTGTCTTGTTACCTTGGGAGTGAATTATATAAAGGTGCCTAATTAGCTCCTAGGCATCTGGCAGATTGGCCAACGCGGAATATGGAGAGCTGCCTCATTCCTATGCCTCTGGAATTTCAGTGAGACGTAGGGGGCCAGTTTTCAGGGACTCCACATGCTGAATAGCACGCCACTGGTGACATTGCTTTTGACAACTAAGTAAGCTCCAGCGACTGAGGCACGTGCTGCTTCCCCACAAAAGCTCTGTAGAGGGATGAGCTGATCTGGATCAGCCGGCTGAGCAGCTACACCAGCTTGACTTTGGAAAACTATCTCTGCTTATGTCATCGAATTCAAAAGTCAATACTATTTGTTATTTGTGTAAAACGTTTCCTAAAACTTAGCATAAAGTACCAATGGACCGAGAAACACACATTTACACACATTTCACCCACCGGTTTTGTTCATAGATTCTCACTCCTAAGCACACACACACACATTCTTCCATGCATGGAAGGAAATCCTAATCATAAATCCCAGTGGCCAGATCTAAGGTCTGGAGAGAGCAAAGTGGAAGGTAGTTTTAGTGGTCAGGAGGGTAGAGACACACTCATACATAGTTCCACTTCCTGGCTCTTTTGTATTCATCAATTAGGGGTCATTTGCTTGCCAGGAAAAAAAACTCATTCAAACTAACTTAAGTCAAAAGGTGATCTTATTTGCTAATTGTATTATCTTCTCTTCAATAATCTGTTTATTTAATCTATATCTTGTTAGATCAGGGTCTGTTTGATCTTGGCAGGTATGCTGGGGTTTTTTCTATCCCCCCCCCACCGCCCCTCCCTAGATCCATTATCCATCCTTCTATTCTTCTCTATGCTTCAGAAAGCCTCTCGATGGTTGCTCCCTGTTCAACTTAGCCAATAGGGCCTTCACTGAAATCATTTCATTTAAACCATCAGAGTTAAATTCTCTTTCCTGCCTCATGCAGTAGAACGTCTAAATGTCCACCTTTGATCTGCCCAGTCATCCTTCAACCATATGGCTTTCTAGGTCTGCATAGGGAATTCAGGCTAACAGACATTCTCTTTGCAAACTTTCTCTCTCTATTCCCAACTTGACCATAGTCGGTATTCCGGTATCTCATAATTATCAGTAATTACCATCTATTATTTCAGTTGTTTGCAAAATAGCAGCATTCATGTTTAACAGGTAATATAGACACCTATTAATCTTGTTCAGTTTATTATCACAGTCAAGGTTGCATTTTGGGTCTGGCAGTGAAGCCCCAGGGGGTTAAGCTCAGAGTACTTTTGCTCATGACTGTAGCCCTATCACAAAGCACACTTCCTGGCACTTGGGAACAGTTAATAAAATATATGTCTAGTTCCAATAAAAAGAAACAAGGAGGAGGAGAAATTTGTTTATGCCTTGGGGCTCCATTTGTACTAAAAAACTTATGATAGTAATTTAAAAACACCACTGGTAAGAGCTAATATTTATTAAGTACCTACTGTAGTCTATGACTGTATAGTGAACTATATTATCTCATTGAATCCTTGTAACAACCCTACGAACTAAATCCTATTTTCATCTCCATCTAAGAAAATGAGGTTCCAAGTGGTTAGGAACTTGTTCCAGGTCACCAGGCTTATACGTGACAGAAGCACCCTATGTCTGACAGTCTACGAAATTGGCTCTCCTAACCAAATCCAATGCCTGCCCCCTCACCCCCAACCCTATATGGCTTTGGGGTTCCCTCTGAAGCCCTTAGTATACTTCTCCAACTGCTGCATGGTCAGTACTTCAAAATTGGAAGGTATCCTCCATATCTTCCGCTGAGTCTTCTTTTCTTCCACTTAGACATCCCTAGGTCCCCAGTGATTCCTCACATGGTGTGGCTTATAAACCTCTCATCTTGTTCTAGGTAGATTTACCCCAGAGTTCTAATTTAAGATACTTCCACCCCCCTTTCCTTAGTAGTGAGGGCTGGCAACCTCTAGGAACTTTCAATCTAGCACTGACTACATCAAATAGCGTAGCCCTGTAGCCCTGGGGCATCCTAACTGGGAGCTGATACATCATGAGACCGATTGTCATAACAGATCTGTATGATTTACAGTTGTGTGCATGTGCATGTATGTATAAGGGATGAAGGATGTTAAAGGAAGAGAAAGCAGAACCTACTTTCTGGAAGCTATCTTAAAGCAAGGTTTTCCTTGATGGGGGCGATTTAGGGAGTCTGCAATCCCAGCATCTGTTCTTCCCTAAAGACCAAAAACATTTTCTAGACAAGTGAAAACAAGCACATTTCCAAACCTGTGAACCTCCATGCACAATGAAGTGAGGTCTGTTTGTTCTCCTTGTCTGGAGGCCCAAACACTTTCAGTTCCCTGAAATGAAGGGCTTAACTGAAGTGAAATTAGAAGTTTTAACTCTCCTACCAGAAAGTAGCCCTCCGAGAACAACTGCTTGTTTGAGAAGTTCTTTCTACCTGAGTTATTACAATAGACCAGGAGTTCTTAGACTGTTTTGTACCACGTTCTCCTTAGCAGTTTGGTGAAGACTCTGAATTCCTTCTAGGAATCATGTTTATAAATGGATAACCTAATTACATATGAATTCAAAAGTAATCAAATATAAAAATATAATTTTAAATATTTTTAAACTGGAATATAATCACAAGGTCCTATGCTCTAATACTGTTTCAAATATTGATATCTACGTCTAATAAATATCATAATTTGGAAGCAACAAAAAGCACCAGCAATATTTCAACATCTCTGCAACAATCTATTATGGAAATATATCTGATTGCTATTGGCGACAAAGTCGCAGGTACTGTTTGTCACCTACAGTTGTAATTAAAAGAAATGCTAATGTTCAATCAGAGGTTAGTAAAGATAAAGATGTAATCTCTTCCCAGCAAAACTCACAGGCCCCCTGAGTTGAATGGACCCCAGGAGAAGAGCCTCCAATTAGGGAATCGAAACTTTAGAATCCTAATGGGAGAGACCATAGAAATGACCAAGTCATTTTACAAGTGAGCAAAGCTTGCTTTTGAGGTTTGAGAAGATCTTCAGCTTGTAATGTACTTGGTAGGTTCCAGCACTTAGTATTTTGTCGTTAATTATGGAGAAACCAGTGGGAAAGGTTAAGAGTGAACATTTGGGCACAATTTATCTTCTTGGCACATGTTTTGAATTTCATCATTTATAAGCTGTATGTGGAGAAAAGGGGGAAAAATGGTCCATCCGACAACAAATCTCACTCCTGAACCCCTGGCTAGAGCTTACATACTGCCGAGGCCCCTCACCCTATGTATACAGATCTAGAAAAAGCTCGCTCACCCTCCCCTAAAGGGACATTCCCCAAGCATTGGAAGAGGCACACTTTTTACTCTCTGCTGACACTGAGAATGCTAAGGTGGGGAACTTTGCTTAAACTTTAGTTGACTCTTTGGAAGAAAGTAACATACCCCTCACGGGAAGACTCTCACTGATGTCTTGACTTATCAACAACCCTTGGAGCCATGCAGCCTCCTGTCCAACAGACATCCAGCAGATGTCACTGGATACCACCTCCACAGCCCTGCGCTGCCTCTTACCACATATCTTTTCCTGCCTTAGAGCCCAACTGGGTCACTCAAGCACCCAAAGGAGTAGAAAAATCCAATTGTCGCTACCCGTCTTCCCATGAAAGACAATAGGATATCTGAAGATCTGACCATCTTTTATACCATTTCAGATCTAGAAGTTACCACAGAGATGATCCATCAGGGGCACTAGTGGTAATTTGGGCAGGGACAGTTTTTTGAACCCTGTACACTAAATGCTGAAAGCACATGCCCCATGTCTCCATGACCAGCACAAGTGGCTCCTCACATTTCCAAACATCTACTAAAGGAAGTCACACACCCTCTGATTGTGGATGAGCACCATTGAATGAAAATAAAGCACAGAGAGGTTAATGAGTTCCCCCAAGGCACAAGGATAGCCAATTCATTAATTCGCTTACAACCCCATTTATTTCCAAAAATGATTTGAATGTATTGAACAACCCAGTTCTTATTTGGCCAAAACTCTCCTCATCTCTGTTTTACACATGAGGGAACTGCCCAGGGTCACACAGCTAGAAAGTACAGGAGATCAGAACTCAAACAGTGAGCAGGAGCTCCGCCACGTTACTCCCATGCTGCTCAGTAACATCCCCAGACACTGGGCAGTTGTCATACCACATGCTAGGCCCTGGTGCTGCCCTGACACTCTGAGTCTGAGAAATGCCATTGTCCCACCAGGTGCTGCAAGGAGCAGCCACGTGTTTCTATGCTTTCATTGGCTTTGACATCATCGCCACCACCGGAGAGGAAGCCAAGAATCCAAACACGTCCATCCCATATGCCATCACCGCCTCCCTGGTCATCTGCCTGACAGCATATGTATCTGTAAGTACTACATCCTTTTGGGACCATCCTGATGGTCTTGTCATGTTTAGCCTTAACATGTAGCTCCAGGACTGGGTTGCAGGAAGTGTCAGGAAGCGACCCCTTCATCGTGCTATCGTAGTGTCTGTACGCATGTGTCCACACACCCTCTACCCCCACCCACCAATGACAAGAAGAAAATCAGGTCTCCAAACTGGAGAGCAGCAGCCCCGGGCCCTCACTTCAGCCCTGGCCTCCAAGTCTCCATCCCACTCCTCCCCACACACAGGCTCTGGGTGTCGGCTGCTGCCAGGGGATAGTGTACAGGGAGTGGGCTGCTGTCCAAGGAGCTCAGATCATAGGCTGGCAGTAACGGGTGGGTGTGCAAGCAGAGGCATTGTGGACCTCTGTGCACCCTCCTCAATGCTCTTCTGTCTTCTGGGAGCTTCCCGGCAGCGAGAGGCAAGGCTCTCCCAGAGTGGGGAGAGAGAGTACATCATCCTCTAGAGACACTCTTCCCCTTAAATCTCAGGGGAAATGCAATTTCTCTCTACTGCTGCTCCCTCTTTTTATACCGCTCCAAGCTTCTCTTTAAGGTTTCCCTGCCAAGGAAGCCTTCAGCCTTGTCTTCTCAGGATCACCTCCCTGAGATGCTCTTCACACTCAGGATGTGTCATTCCTCAGCTCCCACCCCAGAGTTTCTATCACGGAAATAGTTCGCCACAGCCAATATCCCCCCTCTGCCCTTGGCAATGGAGAGAACCAGCTGACAAGCCAATAGGTATGTGGTTACACAAATGCCCCAATCCCTGAGGGTCCCACTCACTTCAGTTACCACAAATAGGAAAGAGCCAGCAGCTGGGGATGTGCCCCATCAGCTCTGCTATCCCTGCTGCATAGCATAGGAAAAGCACCTCCTTCCCAAAAACTAAAACAAAACAGAAACGTCTTTAGCAACTAGGAAAGCCAGAGCAGTGGCTGGCTTGATCAGTGAGGCAAGCTGCAAAATAAGATTGTCCTGGACAGCAAAGGAAAACACAAGAGCAGCCTTGGATGTTGTTTACAGGAATTCAGCTGCCTCTCACCATTGTTTCATGAGTGGGTCAATTATCACCTCCCCCTACGCACACATAGGCAAGTGGCTTCATCTTATCCATACCCTGGTTATCCCTGCAGAGAGTGTTCAGGGAGTAGGGAGTGGGGGTGGTGTGAGGGGAGCAGCAGAGACCATCTGCTCTGCATTTCCCCTCTTATTGCTCCCTCACATACTCCCCCCTCTCCCAGGGGCCAACCCCTGCGGCACAGAAAATAAGGTTAATAATCACAATTCCTTTCTTAGAATAGTGCTTTGTAGACTACCGAGTACTTCTATGTATCTGTCCACGTTTTGCCCATCCTGATCTAACGTGAGCAGCAGGCTCAAAGCAAATTGCTGTAGGAATCAATCCCACTCTCCTCCAGCCCACTCCCAAAGGGGATGTTGTAAGTGATGAGGTTGCTGGGAAACATTCTCTTCGAGAACACCTGGCCCTTGCCCATGCCTCAGGGGCTGTTTGGTGTTGTACTGGTTAGCAGGCTGCCATTCCATCGCCAGGAGAAGAGCCAAACTGCTGACATATGGTCCCTCTGGCTGTCCTCACTAGCAGCCCATGGCTTCGCTGGAGAATTTTAGCTCCTGAGGAATATGGAAAGAAGTGGTCTGGAAATGCACCACCTTCTCCTTTTCAGGCTTTGAATTCCCTTCTGGATGCCAGCATTGGCCTCTGCTGGCCAGGGGAAGCCTGGCCTTTGACCAGTAGCTTCATTGCCCAGAGACAAGAGGAAGGGATGTTATGGCAGATTTATGACATATGAAGGAAGGTAGTCCTGGAAGGCAAGTGATTCCTGGCTAAGCAGAGCCACTCTTACAACCCCAGAGCAGAACTGGGTTCCATCCTAATGCCATAATTTGTTTGTTGGTCTGCCTGGCTCCTGACACTGAGCTACAGAGAGGAAATGGAAATAGGAGTTTTATCTGGGTCCCATCTGTTAACTGGCTATGGACCTCTGACCACTTATCTTCTATCTCTGGGCTTCAAGGTGAAAGGGAGCATACAGTTAAGACTGTATAGGACCCTGAAAGTATAAAAGAAATGAGAGTCTCGCCCATGTGGGCAGGGTGCTCATGGTCACTGCTAGGCCCTGGCGCCAGTGCCTTTGGCTGTAGTTTCCTCCACCTGGTACTATCTGCCCTTCATTGAACTGTCCATGTAGTTCTGTTGTTGTGAGGCTTAAATACCCACATACTTATTCCTCAGATGTGAAAGGGCCAGAGGAGGAGGCGTTGGGTGTCATCTACTCAAGTCCACTACATTCTAACATGAGGAGAAAATACTGAGACCAAGAGCTCTGGAGGCCAAACGACTGGTCTAAATAAGGGCACATGCTGTGAAGTGGCAAATCCACAGTCTTGGTCTCTTTGTCTCCTATGGGACATCTGTCCATGCTGATAGTCCTCTCTACCTCCAACCATGTTTTCTCTTGTTTTAACAGGTGAGCATGATCTTAACCTTGATGGTGCCATACAATGCCATCGACACGGAATCTCCCCTCATGGAGATGTTTGTGGCTCATGGGTTCTATGCTGCAAAATTTGTAGTGGCCATTGGGTCAGTTGCAGGACTGACGGTCAGCTTGCTGGGCTCCCTCTTCCCAATGCCAAGGGTCATTTATGCCATGGCTGGTGATGGGCTCCTCTTCAGGTAAGGGCTACGCTCCATGAAATTTATTCTATTCCGGCATGCCTGTCCAGGGAGAATGTCACCCACTGTCAGCCTGACTATAATCTTGATGTGAGTATATGTCACAGAGACTATGGAATTTGTCATATATCCTGACAAAGAGTTTGAGTGAAGAGAATATAAGCCCTGAAAGAGTCCCTCAGTTTGAGTCTGGGTCCCTCAATCTAGCACAAACTGAAATGTTCCCCTAACGGCCTCTCCCCTCCTGTTTGGCATTGTGTGTTCCCTTGTGAAGATTGTGGGTGTCCAACTGTCACACCGGCTGGCTTCCAGAAGGAAGGACCCATCCCAGGAACATCTTAGCCCTGCCCCTCACATTGAGGACTGGTACTGCCTATCTCTCCACTGCCCCTCTGAAGCTGAAAACGTTCAAAGCTACTGTCGCAGGGAGGATAAGACCATCTGAACAGAGCCTAATAACGTAGCAAAAATGGCTGCCATTTATTGAACATTTGTGATCCTGGGCGCTTTGTATATGTGCTGCCGAAGTGAGCACTGTCCTAGGTGCTTTGTATATAGTATCCTAGTTAGTTGTCACAATGACTCTGTTTTGCAGATGAATAGAGTAGATGAGAATACTCAGAGAGGTAAAAAAAAAATTAAAAAAAAAAAACTTGCCCCAATCCCCCAGCTGCTGAGTAGAGGGCAGTATTTAAACTCATGACTGTCTGACTCTAAAGACCAGATTTTTACCCACACCAATATAGGGGCTTCTAGCCCCTACATTGGCCATGAAGTGGTCAATCTGCCCGTGAACACAAAGGGAATGCGGCCCACCTCTTGGTTCCCAGTGCTTACCGTATGAGGGCCCTGCAGCAAAGGCATTGTTCAGGTGTGCAAAACTAGTCATAAAGCATAGAGGCCAAGGAGCTCTCAGGGGTATGGGGGGATCCTGTCAGGGACTGTCTGCCATCGGCTGTCATCTTCTGCTTCATTTCCCCTGCATACCCTCGAAGTCATCACCAGGTCAGAGCTGCCATATTTGGGGAGCTGGACAGATCAAGAAGAGCTGATTATCATGGAGATGTGACAACTTCACACATCCAACAGGTTTTTCCACTGTCAAAGAAAACTAAGAAGAAAGATGCTGGGGTCCCAAGCATGTGTAAAACATGAAAATAAGGAAAGGAGACCTGGGTGGCTCAGTTGGTTAAGTGGCTGACTCTCAATTCCAGCTCAGATCATGATCTCAGGGTTGTGGGATCAAGCCTCACATTAGGCCCCACGCTAGGAATGGAGTCTGCTTAAGATTCTCTCTCTCCCTGTGCCCCTCCTCCCACCCCCACACATGCTCCCTCTTTCTCTCTCTTTAAAAAAAAAAAAGGAAAGGAAAAGAAAAGAAGAGAAGAGAGAAATGGAAGAGAGGATAGGAGGAGAGTGAGGAGGAAAGCAGGAACTGACTTAAGGCCCACAGGAACTGCTAAGAAGCATCTGCCATTCATTCACCTCTGTTGGTCTTCTCCAGTGGGTAATTGGATTCAGGCTGGATTTAGCCTGAATCTATGAGCACGTGTTCTGAATTATTGTGCTATTTTGCCAACCAAAACCCCTGCACTTTCGTTGTAGAGCAGTGTTCCTCAAGCTTGGCATAAATCAAAATCCACTGGAGGTTTTCTAAAGCATAATTGGCTAGGCCCCATGCCCAGAGATTCTGATATAATAGGTCTCTGGTGAAACCTGAAAATACATATTTCTAATAAGCTCCTAGGTGATACTGATGCTGCTGATCCATAGATTGACCACACTTTGGGTAACACGGGTCTAGGGAACCCCAAGCAGGTATATGAATTCTCCACCTATCACTTCTTCCTCGCAAAGCTTGCACTTCAACTCAGGTTTCTGACATCCTTCCTAGATTCAATCAACCCTTCACATCACATAATGAAGTAGGAACTTTAATAAAGAAGTTTGCCTCAAAACTAAGGCATTAAAGTAAATTCTTTTAAAATTATATTCCAGGAACCAAATCCTGCAGTAGGAATAGCCACAGTAGTGAAAGCAGGGAACCCAGAAGTAAATTGGAGGAGCAGGACCAGGAGGAGTTCAGCCAGGGGAGAATCCATCACCATCTGTAGCTCCCTGCTAACCCTCTGCTTGCCCCTCCTTCCAGGTTCCTGGCCCACGTGAGCTCCTACACGGAGACGCCGGTGGTGGCCTGCATTGTGTCAGGGTTCCTGGCAGCTCTGCTCTCTCTACTAGTCAGCCTGAGAGACCTGATAGAGATGATGTCCATCGGCACACTTCTTGCCTACACCTTGGTTTCTGTCTGTGTCTTGCTCCTTCGATACCAACCGGAGAGTGACATTGATGGTTTTGTTAAGTTCTTGTCCCAGGAGCACACAAAGAAGAAGGAGGGCGTCCTGGCTGACTGTGAGAAGGAAGTTTGTTCTCCTGTGAGTGAAGGAGAAGAGTTTTCTGGCCCAGCCACCAACACATGTGGAGCCAAAAACCTACCATCTCTGGGAGACAACGAGATGCTCATAGGCAAATCAGACAAGTCAACCTACAACGTGAACCATCCCAACTACGGCACCGTGGACATGACCACAGGCATAGAAGCTGATGAATCTGAGAACATTTATCTCATCAAGTTAAAGAAGCTGATTGGGCCCCGTTACTATACCATGAGGATCCGGCTGGGCCTTCCAGGCAAAATGGACCGGCCCACGGCAGCTACGGGGCACACGGTGACCATCTGCGTGCTCCTGCTCTTCATCCTCATGTTCATCTTCTGCTCCTTCATCATCTTTGGTTCCGACTACATCTCAGAGCAGAGCTGGTGGGCCATCCTCCTGGTTGTTCTGATGGTGCTGCTGATCAGCGCCCTGGTGTTTGTGATCCTGCAGCAGCCAGAGAACCCCAAAAAGCTGCCCTATATGGCCCCCTGCCTCCCCTTCGTGCCTGCCTTTGCCATGCTGGTGAACATCTATCTCATGCTAAAGCTCTCCACCATCACATGGATCCGGTTTGCAGTCTGGTGCTTTGTGGGTAAGCAACTTCCTTTGGAGCCTTGAGAGTTCCCTCTCAAGGCCTTGAACCGGCTTATCCCAAAATTGCCTCCTAGCTGGACTAGGCATCTCCATTGCAAGAGAAATCTGGCTGGGTCTATGGACCTTTGCTTTGTGCATTAGAGTCAAGAAAGCCAGTTTCTGCCTGTTACAGTCTTGGTCACTGGTTCTGAAGAATGATGCCGATCAATCCATCACTTCATTGAATATTATTACTGGACATTCTTTTTATGGATAATGAATTCCATAAAAAGTCCACTTAAAATGAATCCACATAATAAAGGGATGAAAATAGCACAGTAAAAGTGAGAGTAGAAAACTTTCACTGGAATTCTGGCTTAGAAACTAAAAGTTATGGGAAAAAAACACAATTTTTCTTACATTTGACAAAATAAAATTAAAATACCAATCATGCCCTAATTTTTTAAATGAGCAAAGTGTGAATTAAGTGTGGATTTTTTGGCATAATTTTTCTTACTAAATAAATTATACCATTTAACATCCCCACTTCATATTGACTTTTATAAAATATTCAAGACCTTTTCCTTTTTTCCCAAGATTCATCCTTCGATACTCCAATCATTCTCTTGCGAAGCACCCATCATGCCATCCATCTTACCGATTTTCTCTTCCTCTATTGATAACTGATATGACTCTGCCAGCTTCCCAACTGTTCACAGTTGCAGGTGTAAATCAGAAGATGCTCTTTCTAAATCCACTTTTATCACTTTTGAAGAGTCCTGCACCTTTCCCAAGATTTTTAATTTCCCTTTGTGATCAATTTATATTATATTCACACTACATGTTTCTCATACCCAATAAGCGCTGATGTTCATGAGATGGCTAGGGATTAGTGCTCAGGATAACGTGAGAGGGGTGTTTAAATGAAAACGAATTTTAAAGTTCCTTAGACACTATCTTGACAAATCAGTAGCCCTGAGGTCAGGAATATGGGTGTTTAGCACTGTGTCCTCGGTGCCTGGAACATAAATACTTAATAAATACTTAATAAATACTTCTTAATTTATGAATTAATAAATTTATAATAAATTTATTAATAATACTTAATAAATACTTAATAATACTTGATTATTACTTAATAAATAATAAATACTTCTCTATGCTTAATAAATACTTCTCTATGACTAATGTTCATATGAGAAAAAAGAAATAGCCGGAAAGGAACTCCAGGAGGTAGAATTTAAACTGTAAGCCTAGGGGCGCCTGGGCGGCTTAGTCAGTTAAGCATCTGCCTTTGACTAAGTTCATGATCTCAGGGTCCTGGGATCGAGCCCCGAGTTGGGCTCGCTGCTCAGTGGGGAGCCTGCTTCACCCTCTCCCTCTGTTATCGCTCTCGTTCTTACTCTCTCCCAAATAAATAAATGAAACCTTAAAAAATAAAAACAAAAAACCGTAAGCCTATCAGATAAGACTTACATAGGGGAAAGTGGAGTAAAAACAGTGCTCAAAAGAAAGTGCCTAAGTCTTCCAGCAGATTCTTCCCCACGAAAGGGCCAGCCTGGGTCTTCCTGTAAACATCCTGTCCCAATTTTTCACAATTCTAAGTCTCACCCTTTGTTAGACGTTCAGGGGAGTTCTTGAGAGAACCCCACTAATTCATCAAGGTTTTACTACTTACATGATTTATTCAGAACCTCTCCTCCATTTAAGTATTTTTCCACTGGAACATATAGCTAACCGATGGAAAGGTTCTACTGTGGGTAGAAGCGACTGAAGAAGGTAGAAATATTTCAGTCATGTATTTGCTAAATAATTGAAGACATAGACATGAAGACAGGCAATTATTCATTCATTCCTAGAATCTTTTTTTTTTTTTAGAATCTTTTTTTTAAGATTTATTTATTCATGAGAGACACAGAGAGAGAGGCAGAGACACAGGCACAGGGAGAAGCAGGCCCCATGCAGGGAGCCTGATGCGGGACTCGATCCCAGGACCCCGGGATCACACCCTGAGCTGAAGGCAGACGCTCAACCACTGAGCCACCCAGGCATCCCCATCCTATAGTCTTAAAGCTGGAAGTGACCTTCAATATCTAGCACAATGTTACCCACAGTGTGGTGACCATTCCATCAGTAATATTTGGGCTGATTTTAGACAGTATATGAATGAATATTTTTTGAGCTTTTAAAAAATTTACATAGTGGGCTGCCTGGGTGGCTCAGTCGGTTAAGCATCTGCCTTTGACTCAAGTCATGATCTCAGAGTCCTGGGATCAAGCTCCGTGTTGGGCTCCCTGCTCAGCAAGGATGCTGCTTCTCCCTCTCCCTCTGTGCTTGCTCTCTCTCTCTCCAGTAAATAAATAAAATCTTTTTAAAAAATTTAAAATATTACATAGTTATTATATATATTTTCACATACACCAGAAAATAGATAGATAGATAGATAGATAGATAGATAGATGATAGATAGACTCACATGGATCTGATGGTTATTTTTTAAATTTAAAAAGTGAATCAAATTAAAGAAAAAAACATGAGTCCTAGGACAGGTGCCATGATTCATAGTAATAATTAACACTTAATATTGCCCTTACCACATATCAGCCATCATGCGAGGGCTTTCCTCACGCTGACGTACGTAATCCTCACGACGACCTTCATCTTACAGATGAGGAAACTGAGGCACTTCACCGAAGTCACACAGCTAGAGTTTGGTAGAACTAAAATTAGGTAGTGTGGGCCCAGGGGTCATGACCCTGTGAAGCCACCACAGTAAATATGCGGTATAGAAATAACTTAAGCTGGAGAAACCCCAACATCTTGTACCCCTCCCCACTTCTCCCTCTGTGAGCTTCACAGATGATGAACCTGAACCTCTGAAAGGTCAAATAACATGCTCAAGGTCAACAGGAATAACTGGAAGCTCCTCACAGAGCTACTATTAAAATCCAGCGTTCTCCACACGCAGATCCGCAGCCCGCATCTCCCCACCAGGGCACCCCTGAGCATCCTTCCTACTGGATCCAAATGTTGGATCTGTGGTTTGTGCAGATTAACGCCTACCATCGGGGCTGGGTTCACAGGGCACAAGCTCTGCAGTCACACAGGGCCCTGCAGGGGTCCAATACTCGGCTGCTGCTTCCTTGAATTCTTAACAACATTTTTTTCTTAACAACTTTTTAACAAGAGGCCCTATGGTTTCATTTTGTACCGGGGCCCACAAATTACATCAGCACTCTGCATCTTGTCTATGATTTCTGGAGCACCAGAGGCATTTTTGCGAGAGTGGGAAGGTGGCAGGGACCCTTGCCTTTGGGGTCAAACTGCCCAGGTGCAAATCACAGGTCTGTCACTCCTGTGTCTTAGGACCTTGAGCAGTTCACTTAGCAACTTTGGGTCTCAATCCACTCGCCTGTGAAAATGCAGATGACTCTACTAGTCTTGATCTGGTGCTGTTTGGGGCTTAAACAAGAAAAGGGGCACCTGGGTGGCTCAGCCTGTTAAGCGTCAGACTCTCGATTTCGGCTCAGGTCGTGATCTCAGGGTGGTGAGGTCGAGCCCCACATCAGGCTCTGCGCTAAGCATGGAGCCTGCTTGGGATCCCCCCCTCTCCCCTTCTCTCTCTGCCCCTCCCCTTTCTCTTTCTCTCTAAAATATAAGGAAATCTGTAAGAATTTTAAAAGAAAATATTGGGGAAAGTAATATGAATTATTTCTTTCCTGGCTTTCTTTTTCAAATCAAAAATGATTCATTGGCCCCGAGACTAGCTATCACATGCCAAAGCATAGCACAGCATGAACCTGTTCTGACTCAGGCTGCCCTCCCAGTTATCAAGCAGAAGAAAACTCCCAGGGAGCCTTTTGTAATCTTGCTGATAGCATAAACTTCAAACTCGTTCCAGAAACGGATACTCCCCGACATGGGAGGATGTCACCCTGCAGCCTGGGGCTGGCCAGACAGAGAGCACAGGAGCTTGCAGCTCAGCAAGCACCCAGCTGCTAGCCACTAACTGCTCTAGCATCATGGTCTTTGAAGCCTGGCACCTGAGGGGCTTTGCCTAGAACAAAGATTCTCAACCTTGACTGCAGAATCACCCGACTGCCACTGAACTATCCTAGGCCCAGGATCCCCTCCTCAGAGATTTCTTTATTAAGTTGGCCTGGTGTGGCCAAAAACTGGGTATCTTTTTAGACCTCTCCAGGTAATTTTAATGTGCGGTCAGGTTTACAATGATCTAGAACAGGGGTTCTCAAAGAGTGGTCCCAGGCCGGCAGCATCAATATTACATGGGAGCTAGTTAGAAATGGGATTTTCTACCCCAAACCTTGCAAGTCAGAATCTCTGAGAGCAATTTGGGTTTTAGCAAACCCTACAGATTATTCTGATGCATGCTAAAATGTGAGAACCACGGACCTAGAGAGAAAAATAAGAAGATCATTAGTAAGCAGGGCAGATAATTTAATTACAAAAACTCCCTGTTTCTCAAAAACAAATTTTTACGTGTGTAAAATACATCTATCCCACAACCCCAAATTGGCCTATAAAATTTTCAAAGATCTAATAGAATATCCCACCTCTAACCTTCTGAGTCTCCAAAATGTCAGATTTTTCTTCTTAATTTCTCTATTCATAGTATAACTTTCCTGGGGAGAGCAGTAGAGATATTTTTAAATGAAGCTTCTTATGAAACATCAGCTACTTTTTAAAAAGAAGATTTACGTGGTTAGGCTGAGTCATAACTCGATAATCTTCTTAGGCACTTCTTTTTACCCAGGCTTCTCGAAATGAATCTTAATTACAGCATTTTTCTAACAATGTTTTTGCTAAGCTTTTGACCTTCAGATGAGCACGACTCATGGAGTAAAATAAGGCACAAGTCCCAACAAGATTACTCAGCGCCTGTTTCTTTTCCTTCAGAGAAATAACACACATAGCAAACGTTTGATAATCCGAACAAAATGAGCACAGAGCAGCCTTGGTTTTTCCCTTTTCTCTTAGATGAGGTAAGTTTGTAAAAGA